TCCATCTGCGACGAGAGAAAAGTAAGTGAGTCAAGAGAAGGAATTTTATCGCAAACTGACGTAGTTCTAGCTCATTCTTTTGTGGCTCTCAAGTCTCGCGTGCATACCATGGTCCAAGCGCTATAATATAAAAATTCCAGTATGAAACCGAGGGTGCTCCTTAGTGCCGACACTATTACGATAAGCAGGAGCCATTATGGCTCTTGCGATAAAGTAATAGTCTTTGGAGGAGAATTAAAAATTAGGCCCTCATAGGAAAAGGGGGCTTACGTAATTTTGAATAAACACCTTAAATGCCGCGTTTAAAACGCAAATAAACGGGTGTCAAACAGTTTCAAACCCGTTTCAAACATTTTGAAACGCCTTTGACTTTACAGCGTTTTAAACGGGGAAAACGCGTTTGTGGCGTTTGAAATGCTTGGTTAACATGCATATAAGACATATAATTACTAAATTCGAGGACGGGAACTTTTTAGTGACTCCACAGGTTCCCGTTTTATGAATTCCTTCAGAGTGTTTGCAGAATGCGTGTGATATCAAACAGGTACCAGAAACTGCTTTGATGAGTCCAAGTGCTTTTACTTAGTATTGCTTTATTTTATACTGTAAACATCAGTGAAAATCTAGATAGAGCTAATGTACAGTGCAAAACCTAACGTGTTCGGAAAATGATTACCTGCTTAACATACTCTCTTCCCGGAGTGGTGCTTTCAACAAAGACACGAGAATTCAAAGTTTTCTTTTATGTTTTTGAACAACACAGATGATGCATGAATGCTTCTCTAAGCCTCAAAGCCAACACACGGATCATTTTTGGCTGCTCTGCGATATTTTTCTTGCCGTTGCTTTTCCGTTTGGTTTCTATTAAATAGATACTGCCTCTGCAGTATTGTCGTGGATTTGTATTTCATACTTTTATCAGTAAATAGTCACGCGTTTAACCTTTGCTACATTTGTTATGTAACTTGCGGTTAACATTACATGTCCATATATGGGCATAAAGAAATGCTGAAATTATTTCCCTCTGTTATCTGAGGGGCACACAACGACTGTTTTCTGTAAAACATTAGTTTGAAGAAGCAAATATTACCTAAAAGTTTCGATAAGTCAAGAAAGGCTAAAAATTTCTAGATGATTGTTTCATCTTTCTAGTATGTTTTTGGCGTTTTTCTATTTACGTTTTTAACAGGTTTTGTGTTACAACGGTGACCATTTCTGCCCGATAAAAATTGCAGAGAGGAAATGAAAAATCCACATATAAAAGTTGACATCTCTAGTGAAAATGTTAAAAGCAACGAAAGAATGAACTTAACAGTTGCGAATCGCGTGCCAATATGGATCATTTATTGGATTCAACCCTCACAGAAACATAATGCTTTCTTTGAGCGCTTTTGGAAGAAAAAAGGTGAGATAAGTACAGTATACAGTGGCAAAGGTATTCAAGTTTGTGCTTATTACGTGTTTAAGTCTGCATCAACACATACATTAAAGAAATGCCGTGACTATTTTGGGAAATGTGCTTACATCATAAGCGCGATGTATCTCGATTTGAAATCAAACAAAAGGAATGTTCTGCTTTGCTGCAGAAAAGAAAGGATATTTCTGCCTCAAATTCATTATCTCACGATTTCAAAAGCTACTAGTGTACATGCATGCATGAATTTGGAACGCGGAATTATCCAGCACCCCGGAATAAAAGAGGTTCTGATTCGTTTATGTGCGGAATATTCCGCTACTTATAATTTTAAAATAGCGATGATGTACAATGAATGAAATTTAAGCTGTTCAAATTAATGCACTCGAACCCCTCATGTTTGCTAGAAAATAAAGTGAGACTGCAATAAAAGAGTCAAAGTCAAGATGGGAAAAAAAGATCTGTGTAACGCAGGCTTTCTTTTCCCAACAGCATAAATTGCGTATTTCACTGTCGTGATCTCCTGTGCTTTTATTTCTAACATTCATATATTCATCACCTCATTAACAAAGTTCCATTGAAACTTGAGAAAAGACTGTCGTTCAACGGATACTCGATGGTGGACGGATTAGGGATAGTTTTTTTTTTGCACATACTGTTGAAATAATAGCGAGTCAATTTTTGATTTTTTTGGGTCCAAAATTTCTCTCACATCTTCTGGCTTCGTATCCTAGCGCCTGTGAGAACATCAGTCGGCCGACAAACCACAAAACCCCTCTCACATAAACAAACTGACGGATTTTGTGTTAAGTTTATGAGAACGGAAACAGTACATGTATATCTCTATCTTCATTGTATAAATGACCTTTTAACCTGATAGCAGATGTCTTATCTTTTATTTATTTTGAGATCGGAAATGGTGTGAAGTTACCGGTATGATAAGAGACTCACTGATTGGCTCATACGCGAGATATCCCAACATTCCAAAATATCACGTATCTTTATCCCCATTTGATTGGTTTAGATGCGGGATGATCTCACACCCTTAATAGCACTTACAATGGATCATTCTGATTGGATTATCAGTGAAATATCCCGAGGAAAAAGGCCTTACTCTCCAGTTCCATTTTTAAATGGAAGTTTCCATTTTTAAATGGAGAACTGTTACATACAAAAAGTGGAGCTGAAAACTCTCTACTTCAATTTTGACTCACCATTACAAAAGTGTTTTCTCCGTTCTATCTCGAGGAAACTCAGCGCTTGGTGAGCTTATGGTCTTGTCAATTCACGCGCCGTTAGCGTTAGTCAGTTAATTATGCGGGTTAACAAGCCCAAAGTTGAATACAAATTAGTTCATCTCTACAGCTAGACCCAAGGAAGCACCTTGACTTATTATTGTAAAAACACAAACAATCAATAACTTAACAAGGATCAATTTAAACAAGCGACAAATAAATTGACAAGACACGAGATACAGTTTTAAAAAGTTTATTGAAAACCAGTGACAAAAAGAGTCAAATACACAGCGATTTGGAAGGAATGGAAATTAATTAATCTTCATCTTCTTCGCCCATGGAGTACTTGTAAGGTTTGAATTTCTTATGCCGACGTTTCTTCAGCTGTTTGGCATGAGCTTTATGATCATCCAAATAATTTACAAATTGAATTCGACGCCTTTTGCGCTTCGGGCCTTGTTGTGATGGGGTTTCTACTGTGTGAGGAGGGGTCAGAAGAGCAGGATTTAAGGGTGGTGGAGGGGTGAGGCTTTCTTTGTCAGGTTTTTGAGAGATAGCCTCTTGTGTTAATTCAGGTGTTACATTAAAGGGGTTGAGGGGAGTCGAGAATGCTGTCGTTGCTGTCGAAGAATCTTGTGTCCTTGATGTTAAGTCTGGAACAGTGCTGATTATTTCTCCCGGTCGTGTTCTGGTATTTAATTGTTCTTTAAAAGCCAGGTATCTGTTTTGCAACTGAAGGTATCGTTTAGCTTTTTCATCGTCCCGAAGATCGTTTCGAGTAAGCACGTCATCCATGTTGCCTTGTATTTCTTGCATAGCTGGAAGAAGCGGGACAGGCGAAAGAGTTTGCTGCTTCAGATATTTTAGAAGCTCTTGAGGAATATTTTCTTGAAACCCTGCTTGGTTAAAGCCTTCTTCACTGGGCAGGACGTTTGTTCGCAACCGACAATTATCTTGGGTAGTAGTTTTCAGATCAATCAGAAGATAACCAAAAGGTGTTTTTACAGCCTCCTCGTACTGATTTAAAAAGAAATCCGTCTGCCCGGGATACATTTGCTTCGCCAGAGTCAAGACTTGCAATTTGTCTCGTGGATTCTTGAATAACACCAGATAATGGCTGTTTAGGCTTATGCTGCGGCTACCTTTCCCCTGATGAAATAGATTCTGCACGATATAAATCACGCTCAGATTGCGATGATGAGAACTACGAGTAAAGAGGTTCACAATTCGCATATCTTTACTAGCGTCAATCATCTGATCATCAAACACGATCAAATTCCGTTTGTTCACATCAAAATAGGAATCCTGCTTCAAAGCCGTAGGAATTCCCTTGACGAATTCAATGTTTGGCATGGCGACTAACATTTGTGTATACGCAGGCTGCCATTGTGAATAACACCAAACGATCCTCTCCGGGGGAGGGTAAATTGTCGCTGAAGCTTGTTGCAATAGCGATCGAACCCAGGCCGTTTTTCCGGACCCGGTCATTCCGGCAATCATGGAGGTGAAAGGGTGCTCGAAGCGAAACCGCTGACATTTCTGTGAAAATATTGGAACTGTTTGAAATGAGGTGAGACCAGCATTGCAGTGTTTAGACATCACGTGCCTTTGCATATTATCTTTTCTACTAAAGGACTTTTTGCAGACAGAACAGAGCCAACTCATGTTAACTCCTCAGGAGCAAAATGGAGACTGAAAAAGAGGTAGAATGTTGCGCATTTATATAGGTTTTAAGGCAATAAAATTCTGTTGTTTCCCTCCCCCAAAACCACCACTACCACCACCACCACATGTCCGTTGTTTTCTTTCCTCCTCCTCCTCCACCTCCTCCACCTCCTCATTTCTATTGTTTTTCCTCCTCATTCTATTGTTTTTTATCCTTCGCGCACTCGTTTCATTTTTTTTCTCCACGAGATTCTATAAAAGACTGCCAACTGCCATCTTTAGTTCACTTTGAAGCAATGTTTCAAGTTGTCAAGAACAATCGTGGTTTTCTTCAATTCTTAGCTGTTTGTCCAGCTCATCAGCGACAGTTTCTTTTACGGACAGCCAGTCCACAAAAACTACATGCATTAGTCCAAGTCTTATACAATATACTTAAGGAATACATTCTTATCCCCGAAGAAAATAAGCGGAACGTGTTGCCATATAAAGATGCTCTAGTAAACCTAGCAGAAACAAATGTCCCTTACAAAACAAAGAAGCGAATCCTTGTACAAGAGGGCGATGGTTTTATTCAAGACCTATTGGTACCTGCTGTTACAAGCCTAGGATTTTTGATGCTATAAAAGAGGAAACGAAACTATAAGTTACTCATTTGAAGCTACGGTCTGTCACGGGTACTCATCAAAATGAAGAGAAAGACATATTTGGTTGAAGAAGAACACGAGAGTGAACATGAAGAAAGCGAAAGTTCTGGTGATGAAAGCGAGGATGAAGAACCAAGAAGAAAAGAAGAACCAAGAATAAAAGATGTTTTGAGTCATCTTTCCCGAGCAGTGTCGGAAATTAGAAAAGCGTGCTTGTGATTTGCTGCATAGTATAGCCGCGTCCAAAGATATTCTTTTCTGGACTCCCAGCGGACAATTACTTCGAAATAAACGCACTATTCCCGTCACAAACATCGCCGAGCTAGTTGAGTATGTGTTACTCCCTCATAACAATGAGGTACCAAGCCTCGGGCGCTGAATACGTTTGTAGATGGACTTGCAGAGTTAGGAATCGATAAACGTTTAATCAAGAACAAAAAATTGTTAAGTGATTTAATAGAAAAGGAAAAAGGCTACCGAAATGTAGAAAATACTTCCGATAATGAGAGTAATAATGAGGAGAGTTCATCGGATATTGAAAATCAGGAGGAGGAGGAGGAAGTGGCTTCTGAGAATGGCGTTGAAACTGAAGGCACCCAAGAGAGCGACAACGACACTGAAAATGACAGTGAGGAAACAGAAAGTAGTAGCCCTGAAACATCCACCACCTTTCACTCTAAAAGTCCCTGTGGACATTGCGAAAACTCTAATGTGTACTCCACATTGATCATGAAATGTCCTAAATGCTTTTGGCACGATAACTACAAGATTTGTCCTATATGCGATCACCAGATCCCCGAGGAGAGAAAATACATCAAAGAGGACTTTCTTCGGTGTCACGATTGTGGATTAATTACACACAAAAACGCCAAGACGTTGGAAACCAATTTTTATTCACCTTCTAAAGAGGAGAACGAAGAGGACGTCTAATTTCCATCCCTTCCAAATCGCTGTGTATTCGACTCTTTTTGTCACTGGTTTTCAATAAAGTTTTTAAAACTGTATCTCGTGTCTTGTCAATTTATTTGTCGCGTGTTTAAATTGATCCTTGTTAAGTTATTAATTGTTTGTGTTTTTACAATAATAAGTCAAGGTGCTCCCTTGGGTCTAGCTTTAGAGATGAACTAATTTGTATTCAACTTTAGGCTTGTGACCTCGCATAATTAACTGACTAACGGCGCGCAAGACCATAAGCTCATCAAGCGCAAGGGCTGAGACTTCAATAGTTAGTCGTTTCCTCGAGATAGAACGGAGAAAACGCTTTTGTAATGGTGAGTCGAAATTGAAATAGAGAGTTTTCAGCTCCATTTTGTGTATGTGTGTGTGTGTTTTGTTTATACATCCGATTTTTAGCACTAAATAAGAAGACATGTGTTGACAGGCGATCGCACCTCTTATTCCTATCTTTTTTTTTAAATAGACGTTCCACTTATTCGTTACTAGAATGGAGTTTATTCAAGAACCAAAAGAGTTAGGGTTTACTTTAGAACCACCTGTTGTTTTCTATAGAATTTTCATACCCTGTGCAATACTTTCTACAGTGTCAAGTAAACAAAGATTGACATTTTTTGCTTGATAGGCAGTTTTTCGCTTCGCTGAGCTTCCACCTCGTTTTCATGTTTTGCCCGAAAAATTAGTACGATTTCGCATTCGCTTAACCTCCTTTTCCCTTCTTTTGAAGTAAAGATTTTTCAGTTAACCTCCGTGTCTTGGTTTTGATTATAAACGATTTTTAGTGAAAATAATTTAATGATTAAAGATTTTTCATTTAGTATAATCTGCAAAGATAACATGCTCAAAATTTGCCCGCTTTTATTTTGAAACACATGACAGTTTCTACAATATCTAGTCAGAAGACTATAGCAAACAATATCTAATCAGAATATTATAGCAAATAGCTAATTATATAAAAATCACTTTTCTGTTTATACTTCTCAACATTTTTTGTGACGTCAACCCCTAGGGTATTCTGACGTCACTTGCTCCTTGCCAGCTGAAAATAGACTATGACATCATCCTATCTTAATGGAATGCATGACATCATGGTCATTAATTTAAACTATGACATCATCCTATCTTAATGATATGTATGACGTCACCGGCGTTAATGTATTCCCCCGAAAGTTAATGGAATTCCCCCGCAAAGAAACGGCGTAACCGGTCTCTCCTCTACTACTCAGAAGAACCACATTCTGTTTGTGTAAACGATTGTATTGTAATGAGTCTCGCTTGCGTAAGCAGCGAGACTCATAATCGGCAACGTATTTTTCGCCCGGGATGTGGGGGTCGGGGTCCACCCTTATATAGGCTGTATAGGTATGTGCGGCGCTTTGTGCTTATATGCTTTGTGCGGCTCTAGTCTTGAATTGGGTATGTTTTTTTTTAGAAGAAGCTACTTCTTCACCATTTGGAGATAAGACCATTTCCCTTTTAATGTTTACGCCAACTGTGTACGTGTCGTAACAGCTTGTCACGAGCTCCGGTCACCCGTCGGGCAAATGGTCTTGTGATGACCATGCGGTTTATTTTCGGCGATGATTGAAATGATCTCTGGCAATGATGTAATTTCTCTGGAATCGAAGCCCTTGAATTTTCGTGTATTTATACACGCGTATAGCCTTAGCCTGCGAACCGCAGACGTATTTCCGGTCGTCGCTTCTGTCCCTCCGAAAAATAACGTCTGTGAACCCGAGCGGCAAAACGATTTTCGTGACCTAGAGCCTTTTAAATCAATGACAGTTTAGCTCTTAAAATCAAGGAACTAACTCTACAGACTTCTCGCGAGGTCGTGCGCGATGGATTCGTTTACTAGTCGAAATTTGAAAGGACGACGTAGCCTGTGTACAGCCGCCCTTTTTCCTTAGAACGACGCGTTTACGAAAGTTAATTTGCCCGGATTGTGGGAAATAAGCACCAAGAGGATTCATATTGAAGAAAAGATTAGAGGACGTATTTAATCTATTTGCCTACGGAATCAATGATTTATCACACATTGTTGTTTTGATCATATTCGAAACGATAAATGTCAGGACTAATGACAGTAGACGCATCGTGCCGTTTGTGGCTTCTGTTCCTTTCTGGTTCCTCGCAAGGAAGTATGCTCTGGAGAACTCTTCGATAGTTTGTCGTGTGTCGCTTTAGATATTTTTTTAGCACACTTTATCTTTGAAAGCTAGGACATATGGTAATTGATTTCCCATGCGAGGTTGCTTGTTTGTTTAGACAAAGCTTTGATCAGATCGAAAGCCGAGTTATATTTGTTCTTATATTTCTTTAAATACATGTTCTTTTCAGGGTTTTCATTTCCTTGTGTTTTTATAAGATGAGTCTAAGCGTTGTATCTCAAATGTCATCTTGACTGTGATCTGATTTACTGCTGAAAATATACATTTCGCGTTGGGTCCGGTCCAGGTTTATAATATTTGAGATCATTGTTTTGTGGCGATACTTGTAAGATTTTGAATTATTAACGATCGATTGTCAGAGATTTCTGAATCAGTCAAGGATGTGTCTGTACATTCGATTCAGCACCTTTTATCAGCGCTGGTTAAACTGAAATAAATCACGAGTCTCAGCACGATTATTTTGTCCAGGTTTTGTTTATGTCACGTACTACCGTATTTTATAAAACGAAACCAAAGGCCCACATAACATACATAGCTTAAGAAGCCGTTGCTTCACAAAGAAGTCAGCATTCAACGTCGCAGGAAACCTACTTGTTAAAAGGCGTGAAATACACGTTCTGCTAAAATCCAAGACACCCCAGCAGCGACGTCGGGTGGAGTCACTCGAAATGTATTCTATCCTTTGATCTGATTGGCCAACATCAAAACAAAACGTTTTACGTCACTGAAATCATTTTGCCGCTCGGGTTCGCAGACGTTATTTTTCGGAGGGAGAGAAGCGACGACCGGAAAAACGTCTGCGGTTTGCACGCGTCGATAAAGTAGGAAGAAAAAAACCTTTAGTGAGTAAATCCTGTTTCGTGTAGAATTAATCGCCTCCTCATTTCTCGATCTAATCTCCAAGCAAACGAGGCTGCAAATGTACTACATTTACCGTTTGCTTCATCTGTAGCGGCATATCGTTAAATATGTGTATGGATCAATGCTAAATAAACTTTGTGTTGTCTTTCTTACGGTAATTTGTCGTCCTTTTGCCTCAGAAATGGTATTTTGAGCCATTTTGAAGGATTTTGAGTACGCTGTTTACTGTTCCTTTTAATAGAAGGACAAGGGTGGAATCAGTTGTTTGAACGGCTCCCGCGCCGTAGCGATTTTGCCTCAGAAAATCGCATTGCTCCGGTTTCAAAGCTCGTAGTGGTTTGACCGAAAGATTCACGCTTCTTCTCGTACCTTCCGATCAAAAATCCATCCAAAAGGCCCGGAGCAATTAAAATCTCACAGTTTTTGAACGGTCAAAATGCGTAGCAAGATTTAAGTGTGCCAGCCAGAAACCGTCCTGCTGATTGCCTGATCTTTTTGATTGGATGTAGTTAAACAATAAACGCTTACCAAATCTGCCTTAAATCGGTAATTTGTTTAACCATTTGGTTAACGATATCCAATCAAAAAGATGCAATCAGCAAGACGGTTTTTTGGCTGGCACGTATAAATCTCGCTACGCATTTTGACAGTTCGAAAACTGCGAGATTTTGATTTTCCTCAGGGGCTAGCTCCGGGTCTTTTGGATGGATTTTTGGTCGGAAGGTATGAGAAGAAGCGTAAGTCTTTCAGCCTTTCTGCTGGAGCCGTTCCAAAAAATTTGATTCCACCCTTGTCCTTCTATTAAGAGGAACAGTAAACAGAGAACTCAAAAATACTTCAAAATGGCTCAAAATACCACTTCTGAGGAAAAAGGACGACAATTTACCTTAGGTAAGGTACTATAACGTTTATTTAGCATTGATCCATGACACAAACGGTCAATCTAGTACATTTACTATAAAATTACAATGCAATCAGGTACACAAACAGACTGTGTGGACACCCTGCGGTTACGGGCGGCCATCTTGGTTTCAAATCTTCCGAGTCTAGCCTGGGAATGAGTGTGGAATCTACTTAGGGGGCGGGGAAAGGCGAGAAAACAGTTTTCCCCTTCTACCCCCCCCCCCTCCCTACTGGCTATAACCCCCCGACGTTCGTCCCCTCGGTACATTTGAAATCAAGATGACGGTCAGTAACGCAAAGCGCTCCTTTCGACGCCGTTCCGGAGAGATAGGGGTCAGTCTATAGGTAGAAAAAAAAGTTTTGCAACCTTGGAATTTAACTTACTTGCTTACTTTCTTGTTTACTTGACTTTAACCGTCCACTTATACCAACGGCGGTGTCATCGCGAGAAGGTGAAGCTATCGATCTATCGATCGGTTTCAAGTTACTGTCTTTGAAGCCCTTAATCCAGTTCTTTTGAGGAAGTCTTTTTTCTTACATCCTGTCACACTGGTAGTTTGAGTCAATAATCAGCATGTTTTTATTAAGGTGGCTCGACTGGATTTTTTGGGGGGTATACCTCCCAAGTTTGAGCATTAACTACGTCGCCATGAGCAAAGATATGGGAAAAAGATTACCACAACTGTATTATAATATATAGATTTAGCCAGGGCTAAAAGAGAAGCTCCCATTAATAAATTTGTAATTTAAATCAAACAATAAACTTGTATTCCACAAATCAGTTCACTTTAAAGCACATTC